CCCTTTTATTCTGCCTGAGCCAGTTTGGGTTGTGTTTTCTCTTGCTTGCAGCTGGTAAGGAGGATGACCCCAGGAAGGGCTCCTTCTTTCTGATGCCGGTGTAGTTTCCTGCGGAGAAGCTGATTTGGGGAGCACCAGCCTGTGGCCAGGTGAAGTGAAGGAGATGAAGAAGACCAGGGACGATGCATGCGGTGGGAGCAGACACACCCGGGGCCCCGTGGAGTACACCCATTTCAGAGGCAAGCAGAGCAGAAGGCGAGCCCAAGAGGAAGAGGGAGCAAATAGGATGAGAGAGGCAAGAGAGTTTTACAAAGAAGCAAAAGAGTTTCACGGAAGCTCCTCACTGGCTTGGCTGCTTCCCTCTCGCCCCCTCTGTATGCTCATAATTCACCAAGCAGCCAGACTGATGGTTAGAGAATAAATCAGAATAAATAAATGGTCACATCTCTCCCCTGCTTTAAACCCTCTATTTCCCCACTGTCTTGAGAATAAATTCCAATCTCCTTACTCTCCACAGCCAACAGAGTCCCGCGAGATCTCACTGCTTCCCACCTTTCTCTTATCTTGTACCTCCTCCATCCCCATCTGCACCCATCGTGTGCCCCGGGCCTAACATAGGTGCTTAACACCTATGCATATACCGGAACGATTTGTTGAATAAGGAAATAAATCAGTGATTGAAATGAGAACTGAAAAGTTTCCAGTGGATTCATCATCAAGGTATTGTTGCTCAACTGGATCAAAAATCTCCAATGGAAAGGGTAAGGGGAAATCTGGATTAGAAAGATTTCTGGAATGAGTTTCTATGGAGAAAAAGCAGATAACGAAATGGATTTTTCTTCCCGGAATTTTTATGATCTGGGGGAAAAGAAGACCTTCATTATTTTGACAGCAGAAACAGAATATAAAGGAAAGACTCGAGTATATAAAGGTACCATTTTCTGTAATTAAAAAGTCACCATATCATAGACTCTCAAACCTATGCATGTGATAAAACTGCATAGAACTAAGGGAACACACACACACACAAATGCATTCAAGTAAAACCGGGGAAATCTGAATAAGACCAGTGGATTGTATCAAAGTCAATATCCTGGTTGGGATCTTGTACTATATAGTTTACAACACGTAACCATGAAGAGAAGCTGGGTCAAGGGTACCCACAACCTCTTTGTATTATTTCCTAGAACCGCATGTGAATCTACAATTATCTTGAAAGAAAAAGCTTAATTTAAAAAACCACCATGAAAAAAATTAAAATGTAATTTGAGTGGGGCTACTTGCCCTTCTGCAGCTCAGGGTTGAAAAAGACCCTAAAATATCCAGGAGACATCTCTGAACAGGGAGCAGAGAGATTTTGAGAGAGCAGATAGGGGAAATCAGGGAAGGCAGAGTCTGGAAAATTAGAATCCACCCTGAGTCCTCTTGCAGGAAGGGTGGTGTGTGTGTGTGTGTGTGTGTGTGTGTGTGTGTGTGTGTGTGTGTGTGTCTTGGGGTGGGGGATGGGTGGGCAGGCACCGGGAGTTAGAAATTAGTGTACAAACTCACAGTTAATTTATCCCATTATTCATTTTCAAAAGCATAGATGTATTAATCTGATAAGCACCTACAGTCTTGAGAATCAAGCACATTTGTATTATCAGAGGAAAATATATAGGACATAGTGACTTGACTCGCAGCTCCATGAGAGACCAGAGCAGGATCCTGACTTGTTTGGCTGCATCCCTGTTTTAAAATGTAGGTTTTATTATTATTCAGGTATGGTGAGGCCAGTAGATTAGGGGACCACTACCACTGAAGAGATAGCTATTATTTACAGTTCCCAAAAGGAAGGGCAAACCACACCAGGCAAGGATGCACTGGGAAGCACCAGGACTCACTAAGAGGCAGAAGAAGCAGGGAGCAGTGGGGAAAGGCGGGCAAGCACCTTTACTTTGGTTTCTGCCTGAAGGAATGAGGAACAGGGGAATGGGGAGGCAGGGTAAGCAGGTTTAGGATCGGCTGGTTTGAATAATTTCAGTGGCTCTGGGGCTTAGGGATTGTTCCTAGCTGTCTGGTTCCTGGCTTTGGGTGATGAGGGCGAGGAGACAGTAGCCCAGAGTGTTGTGGGGAAGTAGGCTCTGGATTGGTTAGTACGCAGGCATATGAAAGGTGAGTCCTTTATGACCTCTAAGAATTGGCTAACCCCGGGAGAGGCAGTCTCTCCAGAGTCAGCCAGACCCCCAGAGGTCAAAGCATCAGAAATACAGGGCAATATAGTGCCCAAGGTCTAGAACAGGTTCTGGTACTTTCTAGGGGCTCAGTGAATATTTGCCAAGGGAAGGTGGGAAAGAGAGAGCCTCATATGCCTATACCATTCTCTCAGGTCCCTTGGGCAATGTGAGACCTCTCCTCTCCCCTCCCCAGCTCTCCAGGAACTGTCCTCCAAACAGGCAACTCAAATCCGTGATTATAGAAACGCATCCAATGGGCTCACCAGGGGGCGATGTTCCAGCCATCTCACCCCACCAGGCAGCTTTTCTATCCATCCACGCTCATCACTCCTTTCCTGCCTCAGACTCCGAGGAGATTTCATTGTTAGTTTGTTTTGTTGGTACTGTTTGTTGGTTTGTAGATGGGTAATGCTGCAAAGGGAGAACATTCAAACAGTACTAAGGGCTGACAGTGAACCAGCAAGCCCCCCACCGCTGGCCTCCCCTTCCCTAGCTCCCCAGTTCCCTGTTTGCACTGTACTCCTGCATCCCTCGGGAGAGAGTCTCTGCTGAAGAGTCTAACAACAATCCATCTCTCGGGCACGTACAGGATGTACACATTGTTCCCCGCTCGGCTTCTTTCACTTAACAATATATCCTGGAGCTTACTCCACATCCATACATAGGGAACCGCCTCATGCTTCAAAGTCGGAACAGTACCCATAGTTTTGGATGTGTCCTAGTTGATTTAAGCAGACCCCTCATGACAGACAGACATCCAGGCCGTTTCCAATTCCAGCTTCTACAAACCCTGCTGCACCAAATACCCTGTGTGTACATCCTCATGCACAGGTATGGGTATCTGCAGGAGGTCTTGTGGAAGGTATGCATGTGTTAAATTTTCAGGTTGCCACCCACAGCGATTCTATCAATTTACACCTTTTCCTTATATATGAAAGAAAACAGGTCTGACTGTTTTAATGCTCAGTTAGGACAGCAATTCTTCAAATCCTGGAGTCTGGCTGGGAAATCAAGCCTGGGGTTTCAGGTCTGCAATCTACCCCAGCCAACTTTCTGACTCCGGGGGTGCCTGGGAGTCAGGAAGCAGATCAGGTCATCTCGATCAGCCTTAGCTTCCTCATCTAAAATGAGGAGAGGACTCTAGCTGGTGTTCTGAAAGTTCCCTTCCACCTCTGATTTTCAAGGTCCTTCTGACTCCCCAAGTCTCTGTGTCTCTAAAGGAATTGGGACTAATAGTCTCTACCTTGTTTACCTTGCCAGGTGATGTGAAGATGCAGTGATATGGTAGAAAGGAGTGATAATTAAACACTTCTGGAATCCCTTGCTAGAACACTAGCAGGGCCTGGAACATTCAGCAGGTGCTAAGCTAAAATGGGAGGTTGAAGACATACTGCATGGTGAAGCAGATTAATGTTGAGATCATCCAGAGGTAGGAGATACCTTCACTGATGTCGTTCCCTCTGTCTAAAATGTGGCTCCCTCTAAGTGGGTCTGGTCTGGCTAACTTCTGTGTCTCTAGGACTGACCAAGGAGCCTGGCACACTGTGGGTGCCCCTTAAATGTTTCAGGGTGGAGGCTGTGCTCAGGACTAGATGTGGCCGTTTTCTCTTCCAATGTGATTTTGGGGACTGATTGAAGGACAAGGTCCTTGTCACCTATGCTTTTCTCCTCCCTGCATCTCCTCTCCTCCTTTGCCTGGATGGGGTGGGCCCCAACAGACTTCTGGTCCAAGGGCCACAAAATCCAATGTCCTGCCTTGGTGACTGGGGCAAACACGCTCAGCTCCAGCTGGCTGTTGTTGGGAGGAAATGCGGATCCATTCTTTTTCTTTTTCTTTTTTTTTTTTAAGATTTTATTTATTTATTTGAGAGAGAGAATGAGAGAGAGAGAGAGCATGAGAGGGGGGAGGGTCAGAGGGAGAAGCAGACTCCCTGCCGAGCAGGGAGCCCGATGCGGTCCGAGACTCCAGGATCATGACCTGAGCCGAAGGCAGTCGCTTAACCAACTGAGCCACCCAGGCGCCCGGATCCATTCTTTTTCAAGAGATTTTCAAGAGAAGCCATAAATCCAATTTTTACCTGAGTTTAAATGTTACTCAGTTTTTTTTTTTCAAATCACTGTGGGAGTCCAACGAAACCATCTGTGACTTAGTGGGGGCCCCAGGCTACCAGTTTTGGAATTCTGAAAACTGTCCCTCTCTCCCCCTGTACAGATGAGAAAATTGAGGTCCAGGGAGCAGGAGGCACCTCCAATGCTGGAGGTGACATGGTCAGAATCAGAGCCCAGGTCCCATTTGTCCCCTTTTTTCCTCTGTCCTCTCCCCCTTCTCTTTTTCCTTCTGTGTGTGTGTGTGTGTGTGTGCGCGCGCGCGCGTGTGTCTCTGCTCCGTCTCTGTGTACCTCTTTCAGTCTGTCTCTATTCCTATTCTCTCCTGTGTGTCTCTTTTCAACTGTGTGATTCTCTCAGTATCTCTCTGCTTCTCTGTGGCCACTCCAGGAGCGTTCTGGAGTGGTGCAGAGGCGACCAAACCTTCGGAGCTTGGTGCAGAGGCGACCGGGCATCAGCACCACTCCCCCACCCCGCCCCACCTCGGGCTCGCGCCCCGCCGCCCCGCCGCCCCCGCCGCAGATTTCCGGGGGCGCTGATTTCCGGCTCCCACGGGGCTGGCTGCCGTCAGCGCCCCTTCCCGGCGGCCGCGACCCCTCCCCGCTGACCTCACCCGCGCCGCCGCCCCGCGCGGATATAAGCAGCGGCCTCGCGGAGCAGCCGGCGGCCGACTCCCGGGTCCTGCGAACGCTCCCGGCCTCCTGACCCGCCGACTCTGGACTCCGAAACTCCGAACTCGGACCCCCAGCATCTCGGACCCGTTCCGCGGAGCTCTCGCCGGGCAGGTAACCACCTCCGTCCCCTCTCCCCACGGAGGGGGCGTCCGGGAGCACTGGGAAGGGGGTCCTCTCCGCCCGCTACCGGGCGAGCCCCCGGGAGAGGCGGCGGCGTTTGTCCCCCGAGCGCCTCCCGGGAGCGTGTGGCGTCCGCACCCCCGGGTCTTCCAAGGCGCGGGCCGGGGACTTGACCGGGCACCTGGTGGCGCAGGCACACTGGAGGCGTTCGCTCCTGTGCACTCACGTCCCGGCTCCTGGAGCTGCTCGGCGCCGACCGTCGGTAGCATGGAAAGTTCGCCATCCCACCCCTGCCTGGATGGCAGCTGTAGGTCCGCGCGCGGACGTTGGGGGCAGAACCGGGCAGTCAGGGCGTCCGGCGTCAGAGCCCTGAGAGTTAGAATCCGAATCCAGATGTTAGAAACTGATTTTCGCGTTGGACTCGAATGTTAGCCTTAGAGTTTCAGTCCCACCTTAGAAACAATTTTACCGTTGAAATTGGGGATTTTAGAGTTAGAACTGGCTTCCTAGCTTGGCCATAGAATCTTAGCATTAGAAACGGAATCTTAGCTTTGGAATCGGAACGTTGACATCGGAATTAGAACGTTGGAAAGGAGCGTTGGACCAAGAATGTGGCTCAGGGAAGAGTCAGCCTGCGACGCGTCAGTTAGCATTGTGGCCGTCGGGCCGGGCGCTCTGGGTGGTTACACTCCTGGCCAGCCAGCACTGCGCTCAGTGACACTGAGGAATGGCGGTGGCGATGGGGTTCCCACGGCTTCCAGGCTCGCGCGGCAGAACTGGGCGCGCGGCCAGTCACTCCAAGCATCTCTATGGGTGAGGACACCCAAAGGCCGAGGCTGCCCCCGCCCCACCCTAAGGTGGCAGGTGGTCCTGCCCGTGGGAGGATGTTTGAACGGTTTGTTACCCAGCTTGGGGACCCGCTGGGACAGAAAAGGGGGGAAGATGGTGCGGGCTGGGAGAGGGGTGCGGCGCGCTTATGCTCTCTCTCTCTCTCTGTCCTCCCAATTCCAGACGCCGCGATGCCCGGCCCTTGGTTGCTGCTGGCCATGGCGTTGACCCTGACCGTGGCTGGTATTCTGGGAGGTCGCGCACAGCCCGGTGTGGCCCAACAGGAAGCAGCGATGGCCGCCGAGCACGCGGGTCTGGACCACCTACTGCGCCAGGCGGAGCGCCTCCTACTGCTCGGCGAAGACCTCCAGCGGCTGCGAGGAAACCAGGGCAAGCCAGAATCAGGTGAGGGGCGGCCGTGTCCCTCCCACCAGAGTACCTGAAGAGGGCTGGAGGGAACCAGGACGCAGAGGTGGGGAGGGACTTGGTCATCCAAACTCTTGCCCTCCAGAAGCTTAGAAATTCTTGATCATAACCTTAGCAGGATCATGAGTTGACCCTTTCCTGAGATCAGATTTCTCTTCCATGTCGGTCCTGGGACTGTTTCACAGAAAACAGACTTTCAGTGGGGAAGATTCTGTGCAGGGGAGAGAGAAAAAGTCTCTGTACGTGACAGTTTTAATTACTACTTACTAGGTGCATATATGCCAGGCACTGTTCTAAGCACTTCAAACACATTATCACACTATTTGATCTTCCTAACAAGCTCTTAGATCCAGACTGTTATTATCCCTCATTTTGCACAGAAAAAAACTGAGGCTCAAAGAAGTTAAGTGAGTTGCTTATGGTCACACAGCTAGGCAATGGCAGAGCTGGGACTGAAACCCAGAGGCCTTTGACCATCTGCGTGTGTGCGTGCATGTGTGCGATTCCTGAGAGGCTGTGCAAGGCAGTGACTCTGGATGAGTGCTGCGGGGAATCTGCCTTATCTAGGATCAAGGCTGGAGGGGGTGCTCAGGGGCAGAGGGTCCCTCACTGGTCTCTTTCCTTCCCCAGAGGCTCAGATCATTCAACCAGACTGGCTCTCCAAGCGGCAGCATCCAGGCAAAAGGGAGGGGGAGGCAGAAGAGGGAGTTGAAGAGGAGGAGGAAGAAGGTGGGGCTGTGAGCCCCCACAAACGGCAGCACCCTGGCCGGAGGGAGGATGTGGTCGCATGGTCCGATGTCACCCAGCAGAAGCGGCAGCATCCTGGCCGGCGCTCCTCCTGGCTGGGGTACACTTTCGCCAAGAGGCAGCACCCAGGCAGACGGCTGGTGGATTCCAAGGCCCAGAGGAGCTGGGGGGCAGAGGAGGAGGAGGAGGGTGAGCCGATGCCCGAGAAACGCCAGCATCCGGGCAAGAGGGCCCTGGGAGGCCCGTGTGGGCCCGGGGGAGCCTGTGGTCAAGCCAGCCTGCTGCTGGGGCTCGTGGATGACCTGAGCAGGAGTCAGGGGGCCGAGGAGAAGCGGCAGCATCCTGGGCGGCGGGCAACCTGGGCCAGGGAGCCGCTGGAGGAGTGAACCCAGTTTCCTATGAAGTTTAGAGTCTAAGAATGTCTTAAGCCCTGTGGGCCCTATCCCTTTGTGATGTCCTCTTTCCCTCCTCCTTAGATCCCTGACCATACACCTGAGCCCTCCCCCCATATACAACACCCAAATCCCTGGCCTTGTCCCCCCTCCCCCTTCAGGGACATGAGAAAGCAAGCCTCTGAGTTAAAACCCCATATTACCCCACTTTCCACTGTTGGCAAGGGAGCAGATCCCAGAGTCCCTCTCCCTACACCCCCTCAGGCTGCTCCCCTTCCTTAGCTCTGGCTAAAATGACCGTTCTGTGTCCTCTGAGCAATCCCCAGAGAGAAGCAGGGTGACTACGGATCCAGCAGCCAGTGAGGTCAAGGTGGGATTGAAGATGTGATGTCCAAATCCAGTTTCTATCCTCCCCTTCTTGGGCGTCCTTTTGTGGGTGGGCAGAGCCCCGCCCCATGGCTGTGCTCTGCTTGGGCAAAGCTTTGCAGGGAGCGGCATCCTGTGGTGTGCTTTGTGGTGGCTGTGGGAATAAATGTGTGCAGGCACATGGAAATAGCCCTGAAAACTGAACTTGTATATAACCTTCTAGAATCTTCCCCGTGTCCATGATAATCATCCGAATGATAATAAAACATGCATCTGCATAATCTTGGAGCTCTGTGGTTACAGTTGTGTCTCATCTGGTGTGGGGTTTCTCTTTTTAACATTGAGTGGGACAAGATTAGAGCTCCCCAATTCTATTAAGAAAGGGCATCAAGGCCTCTGGGTTTGTAATCGTCATGGTTCGATGGCAGGAATCAACAGCCTGTGTCATTCAGCAGCCACAATGAGAACAAAGGACCAGGCTGTCATTGGGGACTCAAACGAGGGCCTTCTGGGCCTGTGCAGGGAGGCAAGATGGGTGTAGGACAAGAGAGAGTGGTGGGGACTGAGGCAAAATGAAGAGGCCAGCTAAGTGAAGACACTTAAATCCAAAAACATTGTGTGAATCAAATAATAACAACAATGTATACACAGGGACGCCTGGGTGGCTCAGTCGTTAAGCGTCTGCCTTCGGCTCAGGTCATGATCCCAGGGTCCTGGGATCGAGCCCCGCATTGGGCTCCCTGCTCCACGGGAAGCCTGCTTCTCCCTCTCCCACTCCCCCTGCTTGTGTTCCCTCTCTTGCTGTGTCTCTCTCTGTCAAAGAAATAAAATCTTTAAAAAATAAAAAATAATGTATACACAACATTTATTATGTGTCAGGCACTGGTCCTGAGCACTTCACATATAACCTTCTTATTTTTTTTAAGATTTTATTTTTTTAAGTAATCTCTACACCCAACATGGGGCTCAAACAACCCCAAGACCAAAAGTCACGAGCCCCACTGACAGCCAGCTGGATGTCCCTGTATTAATTCTTTTAATCCTCACAGTGGTCCTTCTAGGTATTACTATTATTATGTCCATTTTCCTAGTAAGGAAACCAAGGTACAGAAAAGTTAAGTAACTTGTCTGAGGCTGAATTTGGCCTACTCACTGCCAGTTTGCCACCTCTGATTTAGACTGAACTTCCCAATTTCCTCAGGCCTTAGACTCCAAATTAGGCCACCATTTGTTTGGTGGATGGATGAGCTATCTGTTTTTTCTGCAGACAGCTTTTGGTCACCTTCTCGGGCAGCAGAAGAAGGGGGCTAGAAGGGTGTCTGAGCCCCAGCTCCTCTCCTCAGGGAGCTCGCGGTTCAGGTGTGGTCAGGACAGAGGGAGACTTGGGCTTTGTAAGATGCACTTACACCCTTATTTTCAATATTACTCCCCCAAGCCCTCTGAAATATTAAGCATTTGATGGATTTGCTGATTTTTCTCACTTTCAGATGAGAGAACCAACACAGAGACTAGGGTACCGCCCCCGGGTGCATGAAGTGTGTAGGGCATTCCTCTACACCTGACTTTCCACTCCACTCGGCCACCTTAAAACACCCATTGTTGCCATCAGGGCAAGTGCGGCCCTAATAACATTCCCTCTGCTCACAGTCCCCCTCTGGAGGTGAGTACCCTAACAGAGTCAATACGGACCATTTATGCAGTGCTTCCTTGGTGCTCAGTGCTTATAGACACTTTCTCAGTGAATCCCATGACCGCCCCCAGGCCAGCTGCCATGTCCATTTACAGTTGAAAAGAGTTGAGTTGCAGTTGAGCGTGGGTAAGAGAAGCACTTGACCAAGGATATACTCCACCTTCTCTTGCTTCCAAACTTGATTGATGTGCGGGATGTTGTTACCTCCTCAGATAGGGGAAGACTTGAAGAGTGTGAGAAAACCACCCTCCCAGCCATTTAAGGCTTTTCCCTCTGCTCCTGTGAGTAATTGTACCAATGCACCATGATGGAAAGGATCTGGGCATTGGCTTCAGCCCTGGACAAATGATTAAACTAGTTTGAGCCTAAGTCTTCTCATCCGAAATGTGGGCCCAGCAATCCCTACCCCTCCCTCAGAGTTGTTCTAATGATTAAATGGGATGGAGTGATAATGTGTACAGTCCTAGCGCAGTGCATGGCACCAAGCAGATCTTTGATAAATGGCATTTTGAGGTCTAGTGCCTCAGGACAAGAAGGGATTCAAAACTGAACCTTGTAGGACCACTTATTCCTTCCTTCCTTCATTCTCTACTCACACACACACAAAAGTTTAACAAAAACCAAAAACCAGTCACTGGGGCTTTATTGTGAGTCCATGCCAGGAATTAGGGCTTTATCTTTAGCAGAGTCTATGTGCTACTCCCCCAAATACCCCCTTTCCTTCCCACTCTCACACATGTGCCTTTCACTCAGCCTAGGATGCTGTGGCAGAGATGCTTGGTGCGCTTGCCTAAATTTCCCAGCCTCCCTTGCACTTGGGGTAGAATCACATGACTAGCCCTGGCCAATGGGCTGTGAGCAGACAGGTGTCACTCCCTAGCTGAGGCACTTAGAGCCCATAAGCCTCACTTGCCCTTTTCTTCCTGCCTTGAAAGCCTGGGAGGCCACATGTTGAGATGGCAGAAAGCATGATGGAGGGATTCTGGACCCCAGAGTCACCAGATGGAAGTTAGACACTGCGTGCCCATATCAGACTTCTCATGTGTATTAAATCACTTGTATTGAGTGTATTAATACAAGCAAACTTGTATTAAGTCACTGAGATTTCAGGGTTTATTTATTCCTCCAACAAACTTAGCCAATTCGGACTAACACAGATGCCTCCTCCCTGGGTCTCTCTCCACTGAAATCCTTCCCATCTTTCCCTTCTCATATGTATCACCTTCATCAGAGCTGTTTAGATCAGGGCCCAGCACGAAGTAGGTGGTCAATAAATTTTGAGTAGATGTGGAAAGCTTTAAGTCATTTCTATTTTAGTTGCCCAGCCTGACTTCCTGGGGGACCCTGCCCTTAAGGGGCTCCCTATCCAGTGGGGAGACAGACAAGCAAACAGATGATGGCCACCCAGTGTGAGAAGTGTTGATTTTGGTGAGCAAATCATGCAAGGAGAGCACAGGCGAGGGGACCTTGTGTGAAGCAGGCTTCCCGGAGGGGAGCATCCACGCTGAGTCAAAGGGTAAGTAAAAAGAAAGACATTTCAGGCAGAAGAGAAGAGCATTAACAAAGGCCTAGTGGGAAGAAATAATGTGTTCTTGGGGTTGCTAACATTTGAAATCCGAGGTATTTTGGACCCTCCTTTTCCTCCCTCACCCTATCCTCTAACCCTGAAGGGCATGTGCCTCATCCGGGCCTTGTGCTTTATCCAGTCCTCCCTCTCTCCCTACCTTGGTTCAGTCCAGTCCCCACACAGGGACTCAGACTCTCATGGCTTAGATGTGTGAGAAAGCAGGGTGGTTTGGGGTGGAATCAGGGAAGCCTTCATGGGGGAAAGGGCACTTGAGTAGAGCTTTGAAGGATGAAAGAAAAAAAATTTTTTCCTGAGCACTTCCTCTTGGGCCAGACATTAGGAAAAGCACTTTTATATCCACTGCTGGACACACAGTAGGTGATTTGTAAATATCTGTTGAACGAATGAATTACCCATCATAGTCATACCCCAGTTTAGAGAAAAGCAAATCAAGAGAGAAGTAAGGTGGCTTCTCTAAGTTCATGAGTCTGAAACTTGGGAGTTGTCTTTATGCTTCCCCTCCCCTATCACCCACATAGAATTTTTACCATGTTCTGTAGATTTTATCTACTCAAATCCACCACTTCCTTCTAGCTCCTGGGCCACGACTTTGACCCTGGCCATCATCATCCTTGGCCATCAACCTCTGGAGACTACAGTGGCCTCCTCACTAGTCTTTGGCTTCCACTCTTGTCTCCCAAACCTACTCTCCACGCACAGCCAGAAGGACCTTCTCAAAGTGCAAATCTGATTTTGGCAACCACCTTGCTTAAGACCTATCAGTGGCTTTCATTTCACCTAGGATAGAATCTAAATTCCTTACCGCAGCCACAATGGCCTGCCCAATTGACCTCTATTGTGTTACCCGCACACAACTCAGAGCCTTTGTTCATGGTATTCCCTCTGTGTAGAGGCCCTTGTGTTCCCTTTTTAAAAAAAATATTTTTTTTATTATTTTAATTTTTTATTAACATATAATGTATTATTTGTTTCAGGGATACAGGTCTGTGATTCATCAGTCTTACACAATTCACAGAGCTCACCATAGCACATACCCTCCCCAATGTCCATCACCCAGACACTCCATCCCTCCCACCCACCTCCACTCCAGCACCCTGAGTTCCCCTCTGTGTGTCTTCCAGCATTGTGGAGGTTGGAAAGCAAAGACTACATTTCCCAGACTCCCTTGCAGCTAGAGTCTTGGACACGCAGTAAGTTCTCCACATGGATGCTCTTGTGTGAGATTTGGAAGGCTGCTTTGACTCTTCGTGCTGAAAAAGCAGGGCCATAGTGAGGTGTGATATTTCTGCAACAGCTTCCCAGTGTCCAAACCCCAGCTTTGGAAGTATCTAGAGTCAATTGTTGATAGCAGCTTTCTGGCCAGAAGTATTTTTTTTTAAAGATTTTATTTATGGGCGCCTGGGTGGCTCAGTTGGTTAAGCGACTGCCTTCGGCTCAGGTCATGATCCTGGAGTCCCGGGATCGAGTCCCGCATCGGGCTCCCTGCTCAGCAGGGAGTCTGCTTCTCCCTCTGACCCTCTTCCCTCTCGTGCTCTCTATCTCTCATTCTCTCTCAAATAAATAAATAAATCTTTAAAGATTTTATTTATTTATTTGAGAGAGAGAATGAAATAGAGAGAGAGAGCACGAGAGGGGGGAGGGTCCGAGGGAGAAGCAGACTCCCTGCTGGGCAGGGAGCTCGATGTGGGACTCGATCCTGGAACTCTAGGATCATGACCTGAGCTGAAGGCAGTCGCTTAATCAACTGAGCCACTCAGGCGCCCAGAAGTATTTTTTTTTTAAGATTTTATTTATTAATGAGCAAGAGGGAGGAGGAGACAGAGAGGGAAAAGCAGACTCCCCACTGAGCAGGTAGCCCGACGTGGGGTTCGATCCCAAGACCCTGAGACCATGACCCAGGCCAAAGGCAGATGTCCAACAGACTGATCCATCCAGGTGCCCCAGTATGTTTTTTTTTCCTTTTCCTTTTAAACAACTTTATTAGGTGTACACTTAACATATCATAGAATT